TTTATTTCAGCCTCCAAACAATTCCTGTTCCATACCCAATTTTATTTCAGCCTCCAAACAATTCCTGTTCCATCCCAGCTTTATTTCAGCCTCCAAACAATTCCTGTTCCATCCCAGTTATATTTCAGCCTCCAAACAATTCCTGCTCCATCCTCATGTGCCATTTGGATCCCACAGCCCATCCTTGGATCCCAGGGAGTCCTGGAACCCGGAGCAGCACAGGGATCACACAAAGCCACGTCAGGATCCCAGCAGGGCGTTGACTCCTCTGTGCCTGTGTTTTTAACTTTTCCCATCTCACTTTTGATGCTGATCTGACCCATATTTTGTGTTTGATCTGACCCATATTTTGTGTTTCCTCGACTCTCAGCTCCGGAGGTGGATTCCTTCCCTTCCAGAAGCCGGATTCCTTCCCTTCCCAGTTTATCCCACGTGCCCCCTTCCTCCTCAGGAGCACCTGGAGCAGCTCCAGGCAGCTTGGGAGTGAGGAGCAGGAGCTGCTGCCAAGCTCCTCTGCTGTGAACATGTCAGCAAGGGAACTGCTCCTGCTCCCAGAAATTGCTTCCAGGGTCGGGCTTGTTCACACCGAGGTTTGAGAGGAGCTGCAGAGCTGGAGGGTTTTTTTTTTTTCCCCAATCTGCCACCTCCCAGCTGAAAGCAGCAAAGGGAGAGGATTTTTGGGGCTCTTCAGGCCAAACTGACACCCCAGTTTGTTCACTCAGTTTGAATGAGCTGAGCCCTATGTGATGCAGGGGATTTTCTGCTCCTAGGAGCTGCTGGAGCTGCACCTTTGATTCATATTCTGATTTTTAGCTTTTACAGGTGACCTGTTTAACCCCAGGTAGTTGGACTTGATGATCTGGGAGGTCTTTTCCAACCTTAATGATTCCATGATTCTAAGTGACACCTTAACAGAGTCCTGTGTATTAATGGTTCAGCCTCCAAACAATCCTGTCAAACCCCAGTTTTATTTCAGCCTCCAAACAATCCTGTCCCATCCCAGCTTTATTTCAGCCTCCAAGCAATCCTGTTCCACTCCAGTTTTATTTCAGCCTCCAAACAATCCTATTCCATCCCAGTTTTATTTCAGCCTCCAAGCAATCCTGTTCTATCCCAGCTTTATTTCAACCTCCAAACAATCCTATTCAATCCTAGTTTTATTTCAGCCTCCAAGCAATTCCTGTTCCATCCCCATTTTATTGTGGCCTCCAAGGAATCCTGTTCCACTCCAGTTTTATTGTGACCTCCAAACAATTCCTGTTCCATCCCAGTTTTATTTCAGCCTCCAAACAATCCTATTCCATCCCAGTTTTATTTCAGCCTCCAAGCAATCCTGTTCTATCCCAGCTTTATTTCAACCTCCAAACAATCCTATTCAATCCTAGTTTTATTTCAGCCTCCAAGCAATTCCTGTTCCATCCCCATTTTATTGTGGCCTCCAAACAATTCCTGTTCCACTCCAGTTTTATTGTGGCCTCCAAACAATTCCTGTTCCATCCCAGTTTTATTTCACCCTCCAAACAATCCTGTTCCATCCCAGTTTTATTTCACCCTCCAAACAATCCTTTTCCATCCCAATTTTATTCCAAGGCATTCCCCCCCTCCCCCAACCCACCACCACACCAGCGCAGTTTTTTTCCGGATCCCCGACTTTCCCTTTTCTCCTCCTCTTGTATTCCCTTCAGGATGTTTGCCAGCAGAAGGAAGCAGCATTACTGGGCTTACTCCATGGACTGCAGCGGGAGTGAGGCTCACATCTCCAGCTGCAAGCTGGGCAACCACCTGGCCGTGGGCGCGGGGAAGAACGTGACGTGTGAGGACGGGCTGCCCGCCGTCGTCAGCTGCGTCCCCGGCCGGGCCTTCGCCCCCAGCAGCCACAGCGGCTTCCGAAAAGCCTTCAGGCAGGAGGTGAGCAGGGAGAAAACCCCACCTGGCCCCCAATCCCAGCGTGGTTTGGGTTGGAGGGCACCTCAAAGGTCGTCTAATCTCACCCGGTTTGCTCCGAGCTTGGGCACTCCCAAGAAACTGGAGCCCAAACCTCTGGCTCGGCAGGTCTGAGGGCTGAAATGATGGATGAAATCCAGCTTTTTGCTTAACTTTGGGGAGTCCCATCCCAGGTTGAATATCCCTGTGGTGAGACTCCAGGAAGCTGCTGCTGTTCCATCTCCTCACACAGCTACAGAAGGAAATTAAACATTGCCTGAGGACACGCTGAATCTTCCCCCCGAATTTCTCAAAGCTCATGGGTACATTCTCCAGGCAATATGCATTTTAATTTCTGTCTTGTATATCTTGTTTTTTTTCCTCGGCTGAATTTTCCAGTGTGTTGGTTTGGCTGGGATGGAGTTAATTTTGCTCACAGGGGTTTGAATCTGTGCTGTTAACACCGAGAGAAGTTTTTGGTGTTGCTGAGCAGGGCTGCACAACCTCGAGGCCTTTCCTGCTTTGAAAGACTTTGGAAGGACACAAGAAGCTGGGAGGGGACAGAGCTGGGACAGCTGATCCCAACTAATCCAAGGGATATTCCAGACCCTGCTCAGGAATATAAAGCTGGGGAAGAGTCATGGAATCCTGGAGTGGTTTGGGTTGGAAAGGACCTTAAAGCTCATCCTGTCCCACCCCCTAGCCCAGGTTGCTCCAACCTGGCCTTGGACACTTCCAGGCATGGGGCAGCCACAGCTTCCCTGGGAAATCCATTCCAGGGCCTCCCCACCCTCCCAGGGAGGAATTTCTCCCTAAAATCCCATCTAACCCTCTGTGAGTTTGAACAGGAAAACCCTGGGGGTGTAAATCCACCATCAGCTCTCAGCTGCAGGACCCGAACACCTCGTGCCAACGTCCCCTCCGAGTATTCCCGTCTCCCTGCAAGCCCAGCCAGCCCCTACCCCAAGAAATTCCTGCTTCCTTGCCTCCTGGAGGATGGGAGCTGGCAAAGCTGGGAGCAAGGAGTGGGAAAATCCCCGGGTCACGTTCCTGTTGGAGCTGCTCTGTCCGAGCCAGTTGAACTGGTGCCCGGTCGCTGCCGGGCTTTGCTGTTCCACAGCCACTGGAATCCTGCTGGATTGGTTTTCCCTGTGGAGGGACGAGGGAAATCAGTTGGCATTTCCTCTACCTCTGCATTCCTCGGCAAGGAAATGCCCTGGGAGACTGGGAAAACACGGCCTGCAGGAAGGCTGGGGAGCTGTGTTTGTTTAGTCTAGTGAGGAAAGGGCTGTAAAAATCCTGGGATATGCAAAAAGCCCTGTAAAACAACCCTGGAGCTGCTTGTGCTCAGGGTCAGGGGGGTGACTGAATAGGAAAGAAGAGCTTAACATGCAGCAAACATGGTTTAGTGGATGCCAAGGGAAATTTTCCAGCTGCAGCCTCAGGACACGGGGACGATTTTGGGATCTGGAGGCCCCAAATGCTGGGTTAGAGGGGTTTTCCCAGGGGTGCTCTGGGTGGGGTTGGAGCTGCATCACCCAGCCCTGGATCTGTGTGGATTTAGGAGGATCTCTGGGCTCTTCTCAGGTGTCAACACCTCCCAAAACTGCTGTGGTGGGAATAGTGCAACCCCTGCCTGGATCCCGGGCTCTTCCCTGCACGAGAGCTTGAGGGATTTAGGCCTGAAAGGTGAAAGGTCTTGTAAATCATGACTAATCTTCTGAGCCACACACGCTGCCAAGTAATTCCTTAAGCCTTTGTTTGGGCTTTGCATGTCCTTTGTGTGACCCCAGCCTGCTGCCAGTTGGAAAAGTTAAGGATTCTCGGTGTTCCCAAAGCTTAGACTCTGCTGCCACCAGCACAACCCACCTCTCAGGTGCAGCAGCAAGTGGCAGGTCTGTGCCTGGCACCGGGCAAAGCTGTGGGTGATTGATAGATAATAAGATAATAATAGAAAAGTGGAAAGAGATAATAACGTAATCATATAAAACCAGGAGCGAGTGAAACTGGAGCTGTGCATTTCTGGCTGGGATCTGCCAGATCACGGATTCCACTGCTCAGAACTCAGCAGACAGGTGGGTTTGAGGTGGCTTGAGCTCCACGTTGATCCTGGAGATCTGAACAGCAAATAAACCCTTTTAGTGGCAGCCAGGGGATGAGAGTTGGGCACCAGCAGGCTTGGGGCCATTCTCCAAGGGACATGACTCCCAAGGAACATGAGAATTGGGTTTTTCCATGTCCAGCCTGTGTGCACCAGCAGAAAAAGGCTCCTAAATCCAAGCACTAAACCTGCAGAGAACTAAAATATCTTTTTTTTTTTCAATTCCCTGCCCACATGTAGGGACGTGAGAAACATCTCTGTGCATCCCATGAGTGTCTGCAGGTAAAGATCTCCTTCCATCCAGAGCTTTTGGCCCCTGGAATTGTGTGGTAGGGGGTTCAGTTCTGTGATTCTCTAACAGTTTGGGGGGCCCAGCTTTCCCGCAGACAGGAGCTGCAGAGGGCAGGACGTGGAATTGGGCAGTGGGAGTGGGAATTAACTCCTCTCCCACCTCGTGTCTTGCAGCAACCACTGGTGAGGCTGAAAGGAGGAGCCAACACGGGCGAGGGACGAGTGGAAGTGCTGAAAAACGGGGAGTGGGGGACGGTCTGTGACGACAACTGGAACCTGGTGTCGGCCAGCGTGGTGTGCCGGGAGCTGGGCTTTGGCAGCGCCAAGGAGGCCATCACAGGAGCAAGGCTGGGCCAAGGTAAGCCCCCCAGGGGCTGCTGGGGCCTTGTCCAGCTCCAAGAGCCCTTGGGGATACGGGACAGAGCGTGTTTTCACTGGAATATTTGCTCCGGGGACCAGAAATGTCTCCTCTGAGGCCTCCTTAACGAGTCTGGAGGCCAGGCTGGAATATGTGACTTAAAAAAGATGTTTGAGATTCCTTGAAAGAAGTTTGGGGATGATGAGCTTAACCTTTTGCGCAGACAGCTGTTCCAGTAATTAATTCTTCATTATCACATCTGTTGCTCTAAAGCTCCCTTTGAGTCCTCTAGAACCACATCATGGTGGAATGTATTACTAGAAGGTTCCTGGCAAAAATGAGTCCTGGATCCAGACTTCAGATGCTCCAATTTAAACCAGAACAGTAATTTATAAAGTCATTTGTAAGCCCATTATAAATAGAAGGGCATTTGAACAGCTCAGAGCCAGGTTTGGGGTTGGATTTCCTGTGTCTGGGAGCTGGTTTAAATCCCAAAATGTGGGAAATGGTAACTCAAAGGAGAACTTACACCCTCTGAAACCACCTGGGGATTCCCACACCTTGCTCCCGTGGTGAGAATGGGAAAGCAAATGACACCAAACCCTTCCTGTGAGAACAAAGGAAAGGGTGAATCTTCTTTGGAGACTTGGAGGAGGGGAGGGGAGGGAAGGAAACAACACGTGGTGTCCCGAGTCTGGAAAGCTTTAAAACGTGACCCGTCCGCTGGATTTGCCAAAACCCTCTTGTGGTGGGATGAAATCTGCTGGAGTGTTTAACTGCATGTAGGAAACAGCTTAATCATCGTTGTGGGGAGGGGAGGAGAGGCTGCCACGTGAGGGAGGAGAACATGGAACGCTCCGTTCCCTGCCGTCTCCCGCAGCCTGGAAACTCTCGGCGGCGGCCGATTCCCACAGGCTTCCCTTTCTTCTCCTGCTCAGCCCCGGCCATCCATCAGTGCTCCCTGTCAGAAGTGTCCTTTGGGATGGCTGAGCTCCCCCCAGCAGCGGGATCCTCCCGTTGTGGGAGGAAAAGGAGCTCTGCTGGCCCAAACTCCCCTCCAGCTGCAGAGGGGAGACTCTCCCAGTTAACTCCGTGTCCGTGGTTACACTTTGGGTTGTTCCAGCTGCAGAGCTACAGGTTGGGGATAGAGGGGCTGGAGAGCAGCCAGGCAGGAAGGGAGCTGAGAGTTTGGATTGACAGGAAGCTGAACAGGAGCCAGAGTGTGCCCAGGGGGACAAGGAGGCCAATGGATCCTGGCCTGGCTCAGGAACAGGGTGGCCAACAGGGCCAGGGAAGTGATTCTGCCCCTGGACTCAGCGCTGGGGAGGCCACCCCTGGAGTGCTGTGTCCAGTTCTGGGCCCTCAGCTCAGGAAGGACATGGAGGGGCTGGAGCAGGTGCAGAGGAGAGCAACGAGGCTGGGGAAGGGACTGGAGCACAAGTGCTGGGAGGAGAGGCTGAGGGAGCTGGGGGGGCTCAGCCTGGAGAAGAGGAGGCTCAGGGGAGACCTCCTCACTCTCTGCAACTCCCTGACAGGAGAGGGGAGCCAGGGGGGGGTTGGTCTCTTTTCCCAGGCAACCATCAGCAAGACAAGAGGGCTGGGTCTGCAGCTGTGCCAGGGGAGGGTTAGGTTGGAGATTAGGAAGAATTTCTTTGCAGAGAGGGTGCTCAGCCATTGGAATGGGCTGCCCAGGGAAGGGGGGGATTCTCCATCCCTGGAGGTTTTTAAGCAGAGACTGGATGTGGCATCAGTGCCATGGGCTGGGAACCACGGCGGGGTTGGATCAAGGGTTGGACTGGATGATCTTGGAGGTCCCTTCCAACCCAGCTGATTCTGTGATTCTGTGATTCTATGATCCCAGGGTGTTCTGATGCTGGTTGGAAGGACCAGCCTCATCTTGGATGCCACTTGTCCTCCCAGATTATTCCCATTTGTCTCCCAGCACCTCTGCAGTATGGAATGATTGTATTTCACTGCTGTGTTGGAGCCCACACCACCTGCCCCAGATTTATTTTGCTGACTCCTCATCCCTCCCTCCCTGTGGTTTTCTGCTTGATTGTCCCAGCAAACGTGTCCACGTCCCAGTTAAATGTCAGGGCTTGACTGGGAGCAGATTCCAGCACACAGACCCAGCCAAAAGGTCATAATTTGTGAATTCCTGCAGCTGAAGTTTGTAAATTATGTAACAGTGGAAACTTGGCTGTTTCTGGGGTTCTTGCCTGCCGGAGCCCCGAAGAACACTGGCAAGAATTTAACAGTGAAAATATTAATAAGGATATTGCAGCTTTTGGGTTTGTTTTCACACGAAACCAGTGGCTTTTTTTTCCAGGGTGTTTGGAACGCTGGAGGCCGGCGTGGTGTCTGCAGGGTATTAACATTTCCTCCCCACGCAGCAGCACAGGCAGAAAGCAAAAACCTCTTTTTTTCCTTCCTTTCCCCCTTCCCCAAGGGATGGGCCCGATCCACCTGAACGAGATCGACTGCACAGGCTTTGAGAAGTCAGTCACAGACTGCAAGTTCAACACCGAGTCCCAGGGCTGCAACCACGAGGAAGATGCTGCTGTGAGGTGCAACGTCCCTGCCATGGGCTTCCAGAACCAGGTGAGGAGCCGGGTGATCCGGGTGCCAGGGAATGTTTGCCAGGTGTCTGCACGCTGGGGCCTCACCTGCCAGGGCTCAGCATTGGGAAGGAATCATTTCACCCAAGCCATGAAGGTTTTGTTTGGGTTTTAGGAGGGAAAATGAGGGCGATTCTCCCTTTTTAGGCTGAGCTTTGAGCTTCTTTTCTTATAAATGAAGAAAGAAATGATGGAAGGACAGGGGAGGTTTAGGTTGGAGATTAGGAAGGAATTCTTTACAGAAAGGGTAGTCGGGCATTGGAATGGGCTGCCCAGGGAAGGGGTGGATTCTCCATCCCTGGGGGTTTTTAAGCAGAGACTGGATGTGGCATCAGTGCCATGGGCTGGGAACCACGGCGGGGTTGGATCAAGGGTTGGACTGGATGCTCTTGGAGGTCCCTTCCAACCCAGCTGATTCTGTGATTCTATGACAGGGCTTGGAGCAGCCTGGTCTAGTGGGAGGTGTCCCTGCCCATGGCAGGGGCTGGAATGAGAAGATTTTTAAGGTCCCTTCCAACCCAACCATTCCACGACGCTGCACGAACCTGCCACAGGTTCCCCTGAGCCAACACTCCTTCCAGAGCTCTAAAGGAGCAGGGAAGGGAAGCTGTCCCAGGGAGTGTGTTATCCCTGCAGCTGCTCCAGCCCCCTTTGAGCTGCAGGGCTCGGCTGGACCATCCCCTGCCCTGGCTGGGAGGTGACCCCAACTACATCAGTGCCCAAACCGAGCCGTGCGAGCTCGGGGACTCCCAGCCCCGAGGAGCCCCCGGGTGCTGCCCCACGTCCCCCGGGGGGCTGTGCCGTGGCCTCACTGCCCCGGGGGGGTGTCTGTGTGTCTGTGCCCTGCAGCTGCGCCTGAGTGGAGGCCGCAACCCCTACGAGGGCAGGGTGGAGGTCCTGGCCGAGCGCAACGGCACCCTGAGGTGGGGCACGGTCTGCAGCGACAACTGGGGCACCGTGGAGGCCATGGTGGTGTGCCGGCAGCTGGGGCTGGGCTTCGCCAGCCACGCCTTCCAGGTGAGCCCTGAATCCTCCTTTATCTGGGTTTGGGTCTCTGGGGGTGGGTTTGGGTCTCTGGGGGTGGCTTTGGGGATGATGGAGGAAGAGGACGAGGAGGAAGGTTCAGGAGGCCATGGTGGTGTGCCAGCAGCTGAGGCTGGGCTTCGCCAGCCACGCCTTCCAGGTGAGCCTTGAATCCTTCTTTATCTGGGTTTGGGTGTCTGGGGGTGGGTTTGGGTGTCTGGGGGTGGGTTTGGGGGTCTGGGGGTGTCTTTGGGGATGATGGAGGAGGAGGAGGAAGGTTTAAGAGGCCGTGGTGGGGCTGGGCTTTGCCAGCTACACCTTCCAGGAACTCTCCCCTGCCTGGGTTTTGGGGGTCTGGGTGTGGGTTTGGGGTTGCTGGAGGAGGAGGACGAACATTTAGGAGGTCGTGGTGGTGTGTCAGCAGTTGGCACCTTCCAGGTGAGCCCCTGAACCCTCCCCTGCCCGGGGTTTGGGTGTCTGGGGGTGGGTTTGAGGATGATGGAGGAGGGGGAGGAAGGTTTAAGAGGCAATGGTGGGGCTGGGCTTTGCCAGCCACACCTCCCAGGTGAGCCCCTGAACCCTCCCCAACCTGCCTTTTGGGTGGGTGGGTTGGGGCTGCTGGAGGTGGAGGAGGAGGAAGAGGAGGGTTTAGGAGGTTGTGGTGGTGTGTTGGCAGATGGGGTTGGACTTTGACAGCCTCACCTTCAAGATGAGCCCCTGAACCCTCCCCTGCTTGGGTTTTGGGTGTCTGTGGGTGGGTTTGGAGATGCTGGAGGAGGAGGAGGAGGAAGGTTTAGGAGGCCATGGTGGCACCTGACACCCTCCAGGTGAGCCCCTGAGCCCTCCCCTCCCTGGGTTTTGTACCCCTGTGGATGGGTTAGGTGTGCTGGAGGAGGAGGAAGGTTTATCCAGAAAACCAACCCCAACTGCAGCACTCAAATTCCAGGCACGAGCTGGAGAGACCCCGAGGGTTAAACCCCACTGCACAAGAGCCACGAGGAGGGAGGTTTGGAGCAGCCCAGAGCTGCTGCAGCTCTGGGCAAAGCTGTTGTTTTTGTCCTGCTCCAGGCTCAGGTTTCCCTGAGTTTGTCTTTGAGCAGTGACCGAGTGTCCAGGAGGAGGGTGGGGAGGCCCTGGAAAGGATTTCCCAGAGAAGCTGTGCCTGCCCCAGCCCTGGAAGTGTCCAAGGCCAGGTTGGACAGGGCTTGGAGTAACCTGGGCTAGTGGAAGGTGTCCCTGCCTGTGGCAGGGGGGGTAGAACAAGAAGATCTTTGGGATCCCCTCCCACCCAGGCCATTCTGGGATCGATGACCCACGGCACACACTGGGTCTTGAGTAGATTCCAACCAATCCAACCATTTTTCATGGCCAGAGAGGGGATCTGCAGCTCCCCAAGGGATTGGAAATCCAGCAGGAAGGATTCCCCTGCACCAACTGGTTCCTCCAGCTGCTTCCCCCCTGCAGATCCCAGAGAACA